CCCTGAAACCTCTCTGAAGGGGCCAGGTTCTGGCGCTGGTCCCTGGTAGGTCTGAACTCCTTAGCTAATGTCCCGGTCTAACATAACATACATTAGCCCGATAAGCTCCAGGGAGCCTCCGGGGCTCACCCAGAAAATGGCGTTTCATTACATTCAACGCTGGTTTTTTACCATGTGGGGTTTGTTTTGTTATGCCTACCTTTCTGGGTGCCTGACCCCGATGGCAGATAAGGAAAACCCCAACCACAAGGGTGTTTTCCAGGGCCATTGCTCCCTGAAACCTCTCTGAAGGGGCCAGGTTCTGGCGCTGGTCCCTGGAAGGTCTGAACAGCTAATGTCCCGGTCTAATATAACATACATTAGCCCAATAAGCTCCAGGGGGGCTCACACAGAAAATGGCGGTGCATGAACAGGCCGGAGGTGAAACAAAGCACGAGAAAGCTCACGGAATAGGGCAGATGTGACGTTCATCCCGAATGCAAGCTGGAGCGGCTCTGCCAGTGCCGCACGATATGAGGTGACAGTAATAAGCATCAAAGGATGGTCCTCAAAAAACAAAGAAAGAAAGGACATGACAACCCAATCCGAAAGAGAAGACAACCTATGAAGAGCAAGAAAATGGTGAAAAGAATGCCAGGAAACATCATACGGCTGCAGAGACAAAGCTCGCAGGTGGCACACCATTAACGAAGCCACCTGATCACCATAGAGATGGTGATATACCCACGTCAAACCAGGACCAGATGCGAAGAGTATTGATGAAGGCCGAATCAGCCACGTACCGGACAGGTCCGACCTTGCGAAAGAGGCGTAGCCGCGGAAAAAGCCCCGGTTTCGGACACCGAGCAAGCAGCGCCTGAAACCAAGGCACGGCCAGCCACCAAGGGGCCACGAGGAATACTAATAAAAAGTCCCGTTTCAGGCTAATATAAAATGTCTAATGTATGCAGTGTCTAATATAAAATGCATAAGCCCAATAAGCTCCAGGGAGCCTCCGGGCTCACCCAGAAAATGGTATTTCAAGCTGTAGATAATGTAACGAATATTAACACGAACTCGGAAGACTTTGAAAGAGAAATTGACAATATGCCCATGCACTCAGCTCCTGGGCCTGACTCATGTAATTCAATATTCATTAAGAAATGTAAAGTACCAATAGCGCGAGCACTCAGCGTAATATGGAGAAAGAGCCTGGATACAGGGGAGATACCAGCAGCACTTAAATCTGCAGATATAGCTCGTTTGCACAAGGGGGGGGGGGGGGATTAAAGCCTTGGCAAAAAATTATAGGACAATTGCGCTAACATCATATACAATAAAAGTTTTTGAAAGAGTGATTAGGAATCAAATTTCTAGTTTATGGAAAATAATGAGCTACACAATCCAGAACAACATGGATTTAGAGTGGGCAGATCCTGTCTGTCACAGTTACTCAACCACTACGACAAAATCGCAGAAGCTCTAGAAGAAAAGCAAAATGCAGATGTTGTATACACAGACTTTGCAAAGGCATTCGACAAATGTGACCATGGGGTGATAGCACACAAAATGAGGTCAATGGGAATAACTGGTAAAGTAGGACGCTGGATACTCAATTTCCTGTCGAACAGAACACAAAGAGTAACAGTCAATCAAATAAAATCGAGTCCAAGCGCAGTTAAAAGCTCTGTACTTCAAGGTACAGTCCTTGCACCACTGCTGTTCCTTATTCTCATATCACATATAGACAAAATTACACGTCACAGCTTCGTGTCATCCTCTGCAAATGACACAAAAATCAGCATGAAAATTACTTCTGCTGAAGACATTAAAAAATTACTAGCAGATATCAACAAAGTTTTCGATTGGGCAGCAGAAAATAATATAATGTTTAACAGTGATAAATTTCAGGTACTCAGGTATGACAAAAATAAGGATCTGAAACATAATACAGGGTACAAAACACAATCGAATCTGCCCATACTAGGAAAACAGCATGTAAAGGATTTGGGAATAATGATGTCCGACGATCTAACGTTATGGGAGCATAACCAAGCAAATATGGCGTCAGCCAGAAAAATGATAGGATGGATAACGAGAACTTTCAAATCCAGGGATCCCATCACAATGGTTGTACTCTTCAAGTCACTTGTGTTGTCCCGTCTCGAGTACTGCTCAGTACTCACTTCCCCCTTCAGAACAGGAGAGATTGCTGAAATAGAGGGAATACAGAGAACATATATGGCAAGCATAGACAAGATAAAACACCTAAATTATTGGGATCGTCTCAAAGCTCTCCAAATGTTCTCTCTAGAAAGGAGACGAGAGAGATTCCAAATAATATATACGTGAAAAATACTGGAGGGCCAGGTCCCAAATCTACACAGTAAAATAACAACGTACTGGAGTGAACGATATGGAAGAAAATGCAGGATTGAACCATTGAAGAGCAGAGGTGCCATAGGCACAATCAGAGAACACTGTATAAACATCAGAGGTCCACGGTTGTTCAACGTCCACCCAGCGACTATTAAGAAATATTGCCGGAACAAGTTTGGACATCTTCAAGAGAATACTGGACGGTTTTCTAAGAGAAGTTCCAGATCAGCCGGGCTGTGGTGGATATGTGGACCTGCAGGCCGCTCCAAGCAACAGGCTGGTGGACCAAACTCTAACAAGTCGAATCTGGCCTCGGGCCGGGCTTGGGGAGTAGAAGAACTCCCAGAACCCCATCAAGCAGGTTTCTGGGTGGTATCCCCTCCTAGGCCCCTGTGAGTGGACATGTACAGGGGGTTCAGCTTTTAGCAGTTTTGATTCGTAGACTTTGGTGTCGGTTCGCAGTACCCTTCCTGTGCTTACCCTTAGCGATATCAGTCTAAGGGCTCTGGGGAAACCCCCTGTGGGCACAAAGTGGTTGATGGATGCAACCCCCTGGGTTTCCTCTTGCCTTGTGCGAGTTTGAGGGTTGCCCTGTTCCCTTGTCTCAGGGATGACTCTCACTGTTTTCTGAGGGGAGCCCCCTATGGCTCCCCAGAGCTTACTAGGCTGATAGGCTAATGTCAGACTTTGGCATCAGTCATGTGTATGGAGCTCTTTGGCCCTACCGGGGACCACGAGCCAGAACCTGGCCCCCTCTAGAGAGGCATGGGGAGCAATGGCCTATAGAAATCCCTGTGTGGTTGCCCCGTGAAACCCCGTGTGATGAAATCCCCCGGCCGGCCGGCCAAGCGGACAGCACGCTGGACACGTGATCCTGTGGTCCCGGGTTCGATGCCGGGCGCCGGCAAGAAACGATGGGCAGAGTTTCTTTCATCCTATGCCCCTGTTACCTAGCAGTAAATAGGTACCTGGGAGTTAGTCAGCTGTCACGGGCTGCTTCCTGGGGGTGGAGGCCTGGTCAAGGACCAGGCCGCAGGGACATTAAAAAAAAGCCCCGAATTCAACTCAAGATAACTCAAGATAATGCCTCCAATATTCTACACATCTCGCTATGACTAGCTACAAAACTGATGTTATCACATTTGTCACAAAATCCCTAATATGAATCCAATTTAACAGGGTTATATTGTGAAATAATATAAGATAGTTTCATGATGCGTAGATGTAGGAAACAATGGCTGGGTGCTGTGTCTGTACCTCATGGTGGGAATATCATAACTGGCATTGTATTCACTGATATCTGAACGTTGTACATAGTCTTATCACAATCAGGATCATCTATGACACTGTCAAAGCAAAATAATTACAGTTACCTATTTTATTCATCACTGCTAAGCAGTGCTGTGTGCTGCGGCTGCATACACCAGCCTTGGTTGCTTTCTCAGTACTAAGGCTCTCACAACCAGCACAGATGCTGATGATTTTATTTGCAAGATGGAGTCCTGAGGCATGGGAAGTGAGCCCCTTGTACCTGCAGGAGCTTTGAATTGCTCCCTATTCCTAAATATGGGGTCTGTGCACCCCTGATTTGGCACCTTAAGGCGCTCTGCACAGTTCAGTGGTTAATGTTCATGGGAACTATTCCTTCCTGCCCCCCGTCGCAAATCCGTATCCTGATCTATTCCAAGTGTTATGTAGTTGTAATGGCTTGGTATGTAAGTTGTAATTCTCCTGATAGTTCCCTTCCCTTCATGTGCTCTCTCCTGCATGGCTTCCAAGATATTTTATTTGGATGCTCTTCGAGACAAGAGCAATAAAGGTCCCAGTGAATATCATGGGTCATGATAATTAGAACAGGTTGATATTCTGCAACAGTTGCAACAGAGATCTTTTTCTCATGATGGTGCTATAGAACTACTAAAGAAAAACTCTGTCCAATCCAGAATGACTACAGAAGGTTCATTCATGAACACTCAAGGTGTTTCCAAGCCCTACTTGCACCACAAGGACCATCATTTTCCCCCCTCCTTTTCCCTTGTAAAGAGACCCAGTTAGCAAACTTCCGGCACTAAACTCGTCACAGAATGGCATTGAGGGCCAGGCTCTGGTGAGCCTCGTGCAAAACTGGGGCCCAACCTTGACCTGGAAAATGTGGCAAAGGGAAACACAAGTAACGACCGAAGCCTAGAAGCTGAACACCCACAGCGTCCCCCCCAGAAAGAAACATTTGTAATTTGTTTGAAGTTGATGTAGTAACCAAGGTACCCAGGTAGGTAGCTCAGGAAGACTATGAGAGACACAGCAGAAAGAGGCTGGGTCCCTTCGCTATTGTTTTTATCTCTAACCTTCTCACTTGCCTACTCTTGTCAACCAAACCCCTTTTCAGTACCTTCCTCACATAAGAGAAAACATTTCAATTATAGATAAAGATCTGCGGAGATACTTTAGACAATAATATTTGTATCTTTGATTCCTCAAGCAAGATACATCTGATGCATACTGTTGCTATGATCTCATAGCAACTTGGATTCATATTTGGATTCATTCTGTTTATGTTCAACTGAACTTAAACAAAAAAATTTAAATATTTTATTCATGTACATGTTTAAGTATTCAACCTTTACTTAATATTTTCTTTTCAGGTATTGACAGTTACAGAAAAACGTAACGATGACGGGTATATAAGTGTATCGGGTCAAGAGAATGCAGCCAAATCCAATCTCGTGAAACCTTCTGCACTTTCATCATGGGTTCATAGTTTGAATACTGGACCAACTACAAGTAACAGTGCAGTCTATGATCCCTACCATCGAAACCCTTTGTATTGTGGTGCTGAATACAGTCCTCTATGGGAACTTGCTTATCTTCAGGTTAGTAATTAGAGCTGACAGTTTAAAATGAAAATTGATGTGCTCCTCAGGGAGGGACCCCTTCATCATCCCCCCCATAGTTATAGCATTAGAGCTCCCTTAGTCTTGGGAAACCACACTACACCTCAGACCCACATGACTACTGGAAGCCCAGGCCAGAATTTGGCTCTCTACTAGGCAAGAAAAGCTTGAGGATCAATCATCCCAAAACTGAAAAACCCCTCAAAAAGTATAAGCTTTTCAAACCAACAATTGTTTGAAGGAAATTAGTACAGTATCCCTTAAGGAAATAAAACAAAGAATTCTTGACATGGAGTAAACACCATGGCTGAGATGTACCCAACTATCACTAGACAACAGCCCAGTAACTGTTGGCTAATTTGGTGCTTCGGTTAGGCCTTGCAATTGTTTGCACTGTTTCATGTATTTTATGGATGCTTTCTCAGTGTGAATGATCAAAATGAATCCTTAGCTCTCTGTGCCTCTGTGAGAGCCAGATTGTGGCTCTGGAAGGCTAGTAGGACTCCTACGGCTGATGTGACTCATTTTTGGAAGCTATCTCAGTGAAATAGCTTGAAGGAGCCACTGGAACTCAATTAGAAAGAGGTCTTTCATTACATTCAAAGCTTTTCTGTGGGAGCCCCTACGGCTCCCTGGAGCTTATCGGGCTAATGTATGTTATGTTAGACCGGGACATTAGCTATGGAGTTCAGACCTACCAGGGACCAGTGCTAGAACCTTGCCCCTTCAGAGAGGTTTCAGGGAGCAATGGCCCTGGAAAACCCCATTATGGTTGGGGTTTTTCCTTATCTGCCATCGACCGGGGTCAGGCACCCAGAAAGGTAGGCGTATCAAAACAAACCCCACATGGTAAGAAACTACAACAAAAACCCGAACAGAGAGGTAGAAACTCCCTACAATCCCAAGGAAACAATCAGTCAATTTACTGCTGCGCCGGCTGCCTTCAGTTCGTAAGCTAGTGTTAACCGGGATAGACGCTTCTCTGGCCTCAAATTCCTGGGCAGCGTTTGCCTCGTGTGGCGTTCTCTGCTGTCTTTGTGTGGTGTGCGGTGGCCAGGAGTACTTCATCAGTGCCGGGGCTGCATGCACTTAGGGGCTTCCTTGCCTAGGCGCCCTGTGAGTACTTCCCCTGCTTGTCAGGGTTATCATCCATGGGGCGTTCGGGAACCGCTCCTGTAGGGGTTCTTCCTGCTTAGCATTTGCTTCGCCCTTGGGGCCAGCTGGGGCTTGGGGTCCTTGTTTGGCCTTGGGTAGGGAGTGGTATTGTGCTGGTTAGGGCGTCAAGGTGTTGCGTGGCCTGCCACCTAAGCGGCGACCGGTTTCTGTTGCCTCTGGGGACGGTGTACTTTTGCGGGGTTTTTCTTTTTTGTTTTTGTTTGGTGGAGGTTCTGCCTCATGGGTCTATAGTTCCCCTGATATTGTTTTGGTGGTTCTCTGCTAGTGACCCCCGTGCTTGTACACGTCCCAGGGGTTTTCAGTGTTATCATCTACTCCTTGTTTTGTTTGGGTTTCTTAAGCAGTTAGCAACACCTTGCCCGGGCTTCCCGTAGTTGTTAACCTAAGGGCCCTGGAAACCCCTGTTGGGGTTTGGTGGACCCATGGATGCGTCTCCCGAGTTCCAGCCTGCCTTGTGCGGGTTTGAAGGTTGCAGTGTGCCCTTGTCTCCGGGTGACAGTCACCTGTTTTGCCTTCGTCATGCTGCCTGTTGGGTCAATGACACCTTTGACCCGGAGTCTTGCGAGTCATGTTCTCAGCTTGTGCTCCAGTTTTACTCTGAGGATTTTCCTGTTAGGGTACAGGCAGCATCAGCATTGCATGTTAGGTTTAGGTTATTGCAACGCGCTAGGTTGGTTTCCCACCCGGATGCCCTGAGGCTGCCCCGTTTTGGTTTTAGGGACCCTGACCTGGGAGTGTTAATCGCTTTGGCTTTGGCTCCTGCCATGCCCCTGGTCCTTCCCCTGTGGTTATTCCTGCATCTTCCCCCATGTGTCTGGCTCCAAAATGTCTGAGGGCTTCGGCCTCGGCACAGGGTTTAGTTGATGAGACTCAGGCTGCCTCGGGGGCTGCCCCATCCGGGTCAGGGATGGAGGCATTTGAGCCGGTTCCTCCTGCCGAGGCTTCTGGGTCCCGCCAGCAGACCCCCTTCTTGTCTGCCTTTCCCTTGGACTCTGCCCTTTCTTCAGGGGTAGAGGGTTTGGAGGACGGCTCTGCCCCGGGTCCCGACGTGGGGGATCCTGGGGCTGGGGAGTAGTCAACCTGGGGTCCTTGGGCCCCCTTTGACCCCGCTGGGGTGCTTTTGCCCTCCTCGTGGGGCTTATTGTTGCAGGGGGAGGGTTTTTCTTACCCCCTTCCCTGTATGAGTATGATTTGGGTTCGGCTCCTCCCCGGGTTCGGTTCCGGGCACCTTTGGGTACCTCGGATCCGTCTTTCCAGAGGTTTTCTTCTTCCCGTATCTCCGCGAAGGTGGCTCGGGAAGCTCTTGCTGCATACCTTTTGCGAGACCTGGGTTATGCCTCTGCAATGGATCCGTCCTCGTTTGAGTTAGGTTCTTCTTCCCTTTTTTGGGTGCGTTTGGAGGTTCCGGAGTCTTCCTGGCTGGCAGACTGCCCTTTCTTTTCGTTGGGGGCGTGGCATGGGTTCTGTTGGACCCGCATGCTTGATTGGTGGGAAACTGCTACTTTTATGCAGGTTTACCTGGGGGGCGAGTTTGAGCACCTTAATGCGTGCTTATTCGCTCCCGTGCTTTCTCGGGATGTTGGCCTTTTCCAGCTTCACGTGCAGGTTCCTCAGCTTTCGACTTCGTTGGTTGCGGAGGAGTTGCACTCCCGTGGGCATTTGGCTTCGGTCTTGTGTTTCTTTTCCCTTCTCGAGCTGTCTTCTGCTTGGCTTGAGGAGGATGTAGGAGCGTTGAATAAAGGGCCTTTGTCTGGGGTGCTGACTTCAGCAGCTAGGGCGTCGGCTGCACTATTGAAGCTCTTTGCGCCCATCCTGAAGGAAGCGGTGTGTCTGTTTTTTGCTTCTTGCCTCGCGTGCCGTCAGGCGGTGCTCGCCCTCTCTTTGGAATCCGCTTGGGCCCTGGCTCTTAGGTTTTCGTCTCCGTTTTGTCCGTTGCTGTTTGCAGAGACTGCGGTCTCTCAGTTTCTGCATGCTGCTTCGTCTAGTTGTCGGCCTATGGCAGATTTGTTGATTCTCCAAAGCAGTCGTTTTCAGCAGTTTTGGAGGGGTCGTGCCAGGGTTCCGGGTTCTGCTTGTCGAGGTGGGCCATTGGTGCAAGTTTCTGAGCCTTTGTTCCCTTCGGGGCCAGCGTCGTCTGGTCGGCGCAGTGATCGCCCTGTACGACGGTTGGGTTCTCGTAAGGGGTGTCGGCCCTTTCGCGGTTTGCCCCGTTGACGGGGCGATGGGGGGGAGGCTCGCTCTGTTTGCCCACGCTTGGTCCCACGATTTGTGGGCCTTTTCGGTCGTGTCATCCAGCCTGCGGTGAAGTTTGGCGACTCTTCCTTCTTTGCGGGGTTCGGGGCTAACAGGGCAAGTTTCTTCTCCTGCGCTTCATCAAGTCATCTTTGAGTGGGTGCGCTTCGGCGTGGTCCTAACAACTACGTCCCTCAGGTGGGTTTCCCATCTATTTCCAGTGCTGAAATGGGATTGTGCGGATCTGAGGTTCATTCTGGACTTGTCCCGTCTGAACCCCTGGATTCCTTGCCCCTCCTTTCGGATGACTACTCTGTCTCAGGTCCGGCTGGAGCCGGGTGCCTGGATGGTGTCCCTGGACCTCAAGGACGCCTATTGGCACGTTCCTTTTCATCCGGGGTTCAGGGACTGGTTAGGTTTCGTGGTGGGGCGTGACGCTTACCATTTTCGATGCCTACCTTTTGGCTTGAATCTGGCACCTCGCGTTTTCACGCGTCTGACCCGGGGTTCTGGTGACCCATCTGCGTCTTCTAGGGATTCGGGTTTTGGCCTACCTCGACGACTGGCTGGTATGGGCTCCCAGTCGGTCAGCTTGTGTGCTCGTCAGGGATATGGCTCTTTCCCAGCTCGCCAGGTTCGGGTTCCTGGTGAACTGGAGGAAGTCCCATCTGGTTCCGTCCCAGGTTCGGACCTGGCTGGGTCGTGTTTGGGATTCTCGGACTGCTTCCTTGTCTGTCCCTCCAGAGGCGTTGCGGCGGCTGCGGGACCGTTGTCGGCTGTTTCTGATTTCTGAGGGGGTCCCGGGTCACTCGGCGGTTGCTCGAGCGGTTGTACGGGAGTCTGAACTTCGCTGTGCTAGTCTACCTGCCTGGTCGTGTTTGGCTTCTGCATCTTTTTTGGTTCCTTCGGGGACGTCCCTTTCGCCTCTGTCGCGATCGTTGGGTTCGTCCTCCAGGGGCCTTGTGTCGGTTGCTGCATCATTGGCTTCCTCTTCGGGGTTTTCGGGGTTCGGTGCCATGGGGCCTTCCCGAGCCCTAGCTCGATGTGTTCATGGACGCGTCGTCTCTCGGCTGGGGCTTTGTGACCAGTGCTCACCAGGCAAGCCAGGGACGGTGGGATCCGTCCTTCCGTCGGGCTCACAGCACTGTTCGGGAGTTCGTGGCAGTCTGGTTCGCGCTTCAGAGGGTTCGGGTCGTTCGGGGATCGACCATTCACCTCCATTCTGATTGTTTCCCAGTGGTTCATTGCCTGAACCGCGGGGTTCTCTTCGGTCCTTGGCTTTTTGGGGGTTGGTTCCTTCGAGTGGTTCATCTGCTGGATTCTCGGGGTTTGGCTCTCCGTGCGCTTCATGTCCGGGGAGTGTCCAACATTCTGGGGGACGGTCTGTCTCGCTTCCATCCCCTGTCCACGGAGTGGACGGCAGACGACGACTCGTTTCGTTGGATCTGCTAGACGTACGGTCTCCCAGATGTGGACCTTTTTGCATCTGCTTGGTCTCGGCGTTTCCCAATCTATGTGACACCCTTCCCCGACTGCGAGGCGGTCGCGTTGGATGCCTTTCGGCAGGACTG